GGAGTACAATGTTCAGCGAAAATTAAAATTACAACTTTACGATGCGGCATTATCCTGGTCAACATTGGCCTCGGAGTCATTAAGGGCTTGTTCTAGCGGCGACTCGAGCTGCTGCTGTACCGGCTCAATCGGCTGACTTGAGCCAGAGGTCGACCCAGTCCCATCGGTGGACTGAGTTTGACGAGCAAGTGGGGGAATATATCCGTCAGGGAGTTTAAAGGTACGCCTCAGTAGGTCGCCTTGATTCACGACAAGCTCGAGCAGGCCTGACCACCAGTCGTGGTCGTCGGGCAGATCAAGGGCACTTTAATAGCCGACTGGAGCCTTTGGCATAGCATCTCAGATGGTTTCCATGTTGAACTCCTCGAAATCGTCCTCGGCTATCTGGACCCCCAGCTGTTGCATTATAGACCCAAAGCAGTGGGTGCCATAATCCTGCACGTCCTTCAGATATTGTGGGGACTGCTTAAAAGCAGCCACCACTTGTTCGCGGTAGCTCTGCAGGAAGCGTTGACCAGCAGTTGTGTGAAAGACCATTCTGCACGCTCGGAGGACAACCTCGTCGATCAAGGGCTTGGACCACTGCTCGAAGGCAATGTTTTCACGTGCCCGAGCTAACTTCTCCTCCTCAAGTGCAGCCTCGAGAGCTTTTTGGGAAGCTAAAAGGGCCTCTTTCTCTGCTCGCTCAGCTGCGAGTGCCTCCTCGAAGGATTTCAGGGCCCTCTCGAGCGTTTCCTTCTCAGCTGAGAGGACCTTATTCCGGGCGGTCGACTCCTTCAGCCTCTAATTGAGCGCATTACTCTTGACAACCATCTCATCCAACCAATCGCCAAGCTGAAGATTGCCTCGCTCGATCGCTGGGATGGAACGGCTCGAGCTAGCTAACGTCTGCTTGATCAGCGGCGCGAGCTCGACCATTCCTTATAAGAGCACATGAAAGAAGGTGTTAGGGCACTAACAAGGGGAAAAAGTGCAGTAAAGCAGATAAACGTTAAACTATAGTAAGTTGCCTGAGCCAACCATCGGTCAATTCGATTGCCTCGGTCACGGAGGGTGTGACCGTCATTGTAGCGGTCGGTAAGACGGTCGACGGGAGGAAGAACATCCCGGAGGAAATGCGAGAATCCCGTGCCGTCAAGCGTAGTGATCGAAAGTGCGGTCTCCTCAAGACGACGATGCTTGCCCGCATTTTCATCCCCCCCAAACAGAGGGACGCTTAAGCTGGTTCTCCTCGAGCAGAGTCTTCTCGGGAGAAGCAGGAATGTGGACGACCGGAGTGGTCTGGTCGCGCGGAGGAGAGTACGCCGGAGGAGAGGCTGGTTTCTCAAGCTGTTCTAGTTGCTCGGGTTGCTGGTCGCCTTGAAGATCGGTCGACAAGGGCTGCTCGACGACCACTTCTGGAGGCGGTGAAGTCGAACGGGCGGATTGGGAAGTGGTTGAGTCGGTGGGCTTTGAGCTCGACCCCTCGACACTATGCTTCCTTTTCAAAGGAGCTTTCCTCCTAGGCACAGAGATAGCAGGCATCTCTGCAAGGGATCATGAATAAAGTAAAACCGTAATAGATAAACAATAGAAGAAACAAACATGTTATCCGTTGGTCGAAAAGCTCACTCAGTAGCAAGTACCTGGGTCATCTTTGATTTGGATAAGGTCTGAGAGTTTTTTAAGAAGGGCGAGAGCAAGATTTGTGGGTGAGCAGACCACAGAAATGTAGAAGGTCTTTATCTTCGAGTAGAAGTTTCGACGCAACGGGCTTGGTGTTCCACACGGCTATCCGTTGGTCGAAAAGCTCGCTTTGAGGGGGAGAGGCATGCTCGCTTGGGAGCTCCGTGAGCCAAGGAGTTGGCGCCCACAGAAAAGGAGGAGTGGGCTCGACAAAAGCAAATTTGTCTTTCCATCTCGGGACATTAGAAGGCGTGTCGGAGATAAAGTGGACATCATTGCGACTCTTGAGGTAAAGGCCATGAGAGTGTTTGGATGGCGTATAGCAGTAATGAAAAAAGGCTAAGTCGAGTCGACCCAAACGGATGTGGCAGAGGATAATGAAGATGGTGATGAATCGGATAGCATTGGGAGGAAGCTGGTTCAACGGGAGGTCGAACCAGTCGCATATATCGAGCAAATCCTGGCATAGGGAAAGCGGGCCCCGAGTTTGAATTGATCTCGAAGAAAGTGTAGTTATTTCTGGGTGGATGGTCATAAGTATTCTCAGAGCGGGGAGATCTAAAATCCCAAGCAACAGGATGACTAACATCATCAGTGTTTAACCATTCTGCAACGAGCGAAGGAGAAGAGGTGTGCCGGGGAGAAGAGGCTTTAGCCAACTTTTTCTTATGGGCAGGCTTAGGAGGAAGGACGGGGGTAGAGCTAGATTTAGCTTTCGAAGCAAGAGTAGTCGAGGACTTGATTTGAGACTGCGAAGGATTGGTTTTCTTGAGATTGCGCGAAGAAGTGGCTTTGGAGAAGACAAAGCGGCGAGAAAGGAGGACATGATCCTCATCTTGTTCGAGTGCGACCTCAGTAGCATCGAGGGCCTCCTCAATCGCATCAGACGCCCCGAAGGCTGGTCGACGGCGACGAGGGAGAGAAATGGGGTCGGCAATACCATCGTCTGACTCATCGATCAGACGACGAGAAGGAGGCGGAGGAGAAGAGGTGGCACAATCGGAAGGGCGTTAAACACTAATAGGAGTGGGATTGTAGATTTCTTCGACAGAGCGGGAAGGCGAGTGAGGGATAGGCCGATGAGTGGGGAATGATGACGCGGCGGTCTCATCTTCACCAGAATGTTGACTTTGTGCATTAGAATCGATGGAATCTAAAAAGTAGAAAGGAAAATTGAGAGGGAAAGAAGAAAAGTTAGGGTTTCGGAAGGTGAAGAAGGGGGTTTTTTCCACAAATGAAACGAGAAGGTTTCGGGAAAAAGAAGAAGCAATAGGGAGAAACTAAAAATCGACAAAATAAACACACGCGAACACAAAATTAAAGCACAGGAGACTTATTCATGGTTGCAGTGGAGAGCGGTTGCCGGAAAATGCTTGGAGAAAAGCGCCGAGAGCAGGGAAGAACAGTTTGCAGAGGAAGAAATTAGGGCACAAGGGAGTTCGAGATTTGCAAAGTGAGAAAAGTCGAAAAATTTACTAAGTACCGTACTTATAAGAGGACAGAGGAATAAGGTGAAGAGTTAATGGAGATAGCCGTTAGATAAAAGGAGATCCAACGGTGGGAAGAAATTACAGAGGCACAGATAGCGAAGCGTCACAAATCGCGAGGAGGCATGATGATTAAGGGTACTGAGCGGAAAGGACATATGACAGGTGGAAATTACGCTGATAATAAAAGGAGATAAAGGAAAGTTAAAACGCACCATAAAATCGATCGCGTGGTCGAAGAAGGATGGTGGCATTAACCGAAACGATCGAGAGAGGAGATCAGATGTAAGTAGGAGATCGAGAGGTTGGCAGAACGGAGAAGACAGCTCGAATGCACTTTTAGATCGAGTCATTTAGACTCGACCAGAGTGGGTGGGGGGGACTAGATGATATGAGATATTATATAGATAGAGAATAGACTGGTTCACCACATTGGTCGGGCAGGCTCGAGGTAGAGAAAACAGTATTGGTCGAGGGATAATCGACCAAAAGGGAAAAGATCGAGCAGAGTAGCAGAACTGGTCGAGGATCGACCTGACGACGGGAAACTCGGTCAGATCGAACACTCAACAGGTGAAGAGCAGTCGAGACCGTGGCTTGAACGCGAGAAAGTGCGTGGGGGGCGTTAGAAGATCCTAACGGGATGTGCAGAGAATAATCTCCCTCTGCTCAGAGGGACACGTGGCGAAAGTACATTGGTGCAGAGCAATAGTGGTGATAACCACCTCTGACGCCTCTGACACACGCATACTGTGTGTGTACGGACGGGCAGTACGGGCAGGACAGCTCACCAGATCCGGGCAGCTCCTAGGGCAGGTACCTCACTCCTATATATATGGGAGTGAGCCTTTTCTTGTGACTTACGATTTATCCATTACATACTTTGGAGAATTGGGTAAAATATACACTGACTTAAGCATCGGAGGCTCTTCACCGGAAAACCCCTCCCGGTGTGAGAGTTCTGTGCAGGTGCGCGGCGTTCTACCGACGAGGAAGAGGAAGGCGAGCCGATATCAAGCCGGTCGGAGTGTTTTGCGTTACCAAGACGTTTCATGGGTCAGGTAGCATGACAATAAAACGTTTACACCTTATGTAAGCTTAGCTATTTGACGTTTAAACCACGTTGGAGCTTTTACCTAGGACGTTTATAAACGAAATTAAACCCTAACTTACACCTCTTCATATATTCATTCTACCATACTAATCAACCCACCACATTGATTTAATGCAACATATATATGAAGAGGGTTTAATTATCTAAGTCATAAAATAACTCAAACACTCAAAAATCAATAAATCCATTTGTGAGTGAAACTCAATGTAAAAAAATTAAAAATAGGGGATTAAGGTAGAGCTTAGTGAGTTAAGTTTTATAAAGAGGAAGGAGATTGATGAATGTGTGGATTAAAGTAAAAGTGAAGAAGAAGGAGATTGATGAAGGTAAAAATAATCATTTGGATAGAAGTAGGTAAAACATTTATATGAGGACAAAAATATAATTTTAATTATTATTAAATTATTTTTTGACGCAACAAATAATAATTTGAAACAATAAATAGCAACACCCTATAATATATACATGTTGTAAAAATTCCCCTAAAAAGTAAAATGTGGTTGGAACGAGGAAACAAAGGACAAACATAACCCGGCAAGATTAGAAAAGTCCACCCAATCCAAAGATGAGAGGGGAAATATTCAAATTTCAAAGATGTTGACACATATAATAAATAATATTGTGATTCATTCAACACTAAAATAGTAAAATGTATTGTGGAGTTGAAATTCAAATCTTATTCTCCGCATCCGACTTTTTGATTCAAATCGTAATCAACGTGAACGAAGAAAAAAAAAAAAAAAAAAAAAAAAATGGCGTCGATCAAAACGAATATCAACAGCGGTGGTGCCAACATAGGTTTCCATGAATTGAAGAAGCAGGCTTCTTTCTTCTTCAAGGAGAAGATCAAATCTGCCAGGCTGGCCTTGACTGACGTCACACCCGCTCAACTGTAAATATTTTTTTAGTTCTTCCAAATATTAATACATAGTTGCTAATCTCATCTGTTGTGTTGTGGTTAACTCATTTTCAATTTCATTATTATAATTATTATTATTATTTTTTTTTTTTCCAAGACTGGCTGAAGAAGCTACCAACGGGGATCCGGGCTGTCCCGATGCTAGAACACTCAAGATGATATCAAAGGCAGCTTTCGAAGTTGATGATTACTGGAGGATTGTGGACATCCTTCACAGAAGGTATTCGATTAGTGGGTGTTTTCTCCTTTCCCTTTTGATTGGATATTTCGATTTTGCCTTATTTTTTATTTGAATTTTTTTTTTTTTTCCCTTTTTAACTTGGGGTGTAGATTAGTTAGATTTGAGAAGATGAACTGGAGGCCTTCTTACAAGGCTCTGATCGTGGTGGAACACTTGTTGACTCAGGGGCCCGAACGAGTTGCTGAGGAGTTCCAAATCGACTCAGAAGCTATTAAGAAGATGGAAAGCTTTCAATATATCGATGACCAAGGGTACTATATATCTTGAATCATCACTTGCAAATACTACGCTACTGTGTTTTGATCGACTGTTGTTATGTTGATTGGCAAACTTGTTGTTTGGAAGGTTTAATTGGGGCCTTAACGTGAGAAAGAAATGCGAAAGGGTACTGAAGCTGCTGGAGAAGGGCCCGCTTCTTAAGGAAGAACGGGAGAAAGCCCGAAAAATTTCAAGAGGGATTCAAGGGTTCGGAAGCTTCTGCTCGAGAAATTGTTCGCCTCAAGACACACTCAGGGAACCATCATTTGCTAGGTCCTATTCTGAATCCAACCATCATGAAGAAGACTTGTTTCCTGTTCAAACAGAAAAGCCATTGAATTTGGAAAACTCGGAAAGTGTTGATACCAAAGAAAATTGGGGCACGGACAATAATAATCTCCTGAGAGAAACGAGTGCAGGAAGCACAAACGAGCCCTTGTTGGGAGAGAAGAAAAACAATGACCCAGCCAAAGTCCCCGTTAGCAATACTCATCCTTTTGATGACCAACTAACGGCAATCTCACTGCTGTCTGCAGCAGATGAGAATTGAGCATAAGTGGTGCTACTTTTAGTCTTATGTCTACTGCTATTGTGTAAACAAATGTTAATGCCCAGCCCAGGTGCATTTGTTATGTCACCCTGTGTAATTGTACTAATTATGTCCAAATCATATATTGTACTTCAACTCAGGTTGCAGAATCCTTACACCCAACCCAACAAAGATGGGAAAACTACAATACATTTATTTTTAATTTTTTTTTAATTAATTTGATCCATTCAGTCCGCTTAAGATGGTCTTTGAGGAACAATTTTACATGTTAAGTGGGTATAACAAACTACATCAGTTCTTGAGATCTTGCAGTGTAAATGCAGTAGCTGCAACAACGTCTTCTACTAAATAAATCAGACAGAGGCATTTAATTCTTTAATCGTCTAATAATATCTCTCATAAAACCAACAAGCCTGTAATTCGGAATTGTCGAGAAAAGAAAATAAGATTAAGTGAAAGGAGATCTGAAAACGGATTTTTGTTGCTTGGAGTGGGTTTCATTAAGACAAATGTCTTGGACTATGCACAGAAGCAGAGCTCCACCTACTTAAGTAGAATGGTGTCCAAGGTCAAAAACATAAACTTGGAGTTCATCTAATACCATGCAGAATAGAAGCAAGGTCGAGAAAATGAGAAGCAGTAAGTGAGAGGTGGATAATAAATTGCTCGTTAATCAATAGAGAGGAATCCCCCAGCCAATGACTAATTATTGTAATAATCCGTGCACAAAGTCCCATCAATACATGGTACATTTTTACGTGCAAAGATGGACGGAAATCAAGAGGAGGTAATCTGGAGATTGGCAACCCATTCTTGAATAGCAAGCCTTAGGGAGTAGTTGGGAGTTAGATCCAAATGCGTCAGTTTCAAATTCGTCATTGGAGAAGTTTCACGACCACTTTGCAGCCATCCCCGCAAGGCTTCCCCTTCATACGTGAAACCATCGGCTGCAACGTGGGGGTCATGCATTATTTCCTGAAATCAAAAAACAAAAAAAAAAAAAATGAAAATTAAGAAATTGCAAAATCAATCAAAGAGTACATCAAAGCATCTCCAATGGTTCAATATCTATTTTGAGATGAATGGTGTGGAGAAACCGAGAAAGGGAATAAAAATATTTTGTCGGGTTAATGTCAATTGTGGAATAATTTGACACATGTAAGATGGTAATTAGTTGGTGGAGGGAAAAATATAAAATAAATAAATACTCCCTCCTATTTTTATTATTTGTCGTTTTGAGAAGTAACATGCTAATTAAGAATTTTTTTTGTTGTTATGGGAAACGATGGAGATGGGATATGAAGAAACACTGTGTATTAAATGTGTATTAGATGAAAGGTTAAAAATGGAAAAATATGAACAAAATAACCAAAACGTCTTATATTTAATCAATGATCAATTAAGCCAGATTGACAAATAGGAGTATAATATGGGGTAGAAGATGTCTAGAAGTCTTTTTTGCATCTAGAAACTTCTACAATTTCGAAATGCCACATTGGATTTTTGGGGTTACGCGGCAATGAATTAAAGCAATCCATCTAAGTAGCTCAAGAAGCAAACAGCATTTACCTACCTGAAGAATTGGGCATAGGAAGAAAGATGGCACGGTTTGCTCCTCCAAGAACGGCATGCACTTGAGCTCCTTGACGAGGCACTCTGTCATTTCGGGCCTATCCCGACTGTTCCTTTCACAGCATTGCAATCCCAACTCCACCAATCTACGGCCCACATAAGCCGACCAATCCCCAGCCGACACATCCAACAAAGACGCAATCTTTTTTCCTGACGATACTGCCCTCCGCACCTTCCCTGCTATTCTCCCCTTTGTTTTTCCCGTCACCAACTGGAGAATAATAACCCCGAAAGAATAAATGTCGGACATTTGGGTGAGTGACCCGTTTTTGTAGGATTCAGGATCAGTGTACAAGCAAACACTACCCGAGCCCGAACAACAGCGAAAAGCTCTGTTGGGCAAGAGCATATTGTCCGCGTAGTCACTTATCTTGCACCTGTTTTCATGGTCAAGGAATAAATTTTCGGGCTTCAGGTTCCCGTGCACGACTTTTGGTTTCGAGAAGTGCATGCAGTGGAGGCCGCTAGCAATGTCGGCTACGATTCGCGCTCGGGTCTTCCAACCGAGGGCGCTCATGTTCCTTTTGTTGGAGAGGTAGTTCTGAAGGCTGCCACCTGGCAAGTATTCGTACACGAGGGACCACGAGTCGGGGCATACTCCGATTAGTTTCACGAGATGGGGATGATGCCGTAGTTTGCCTACAACTTGAACCTGAATTTTTGGAAAAACAACAGAAAAATCAACGTGAATTCAAAACAAAACCTCAATTTATTTCTATTTTTTATTTTTATTTTTTTAGAGTAAATTGTAATTTTAGTCTTGTACAATTTAGTACTCTAACTTTTTCGTTCTCTTCGAATTGCTTTTTTTTTCCTTTTTTTTTTTCGTCCCTTATCTTTACAAAAAGGTTACAAAAAGGTCCCCGAGCATACATAAGGAACGAAGTTGGAACCATTTTTTGCAGAACATAAGGGACCATTTTGTTGCAAAAAAGGACTTTTTTGTAACCTCTTTGCATACATAAGGACGAAAATCAGAAAAGCAATTCGAAGAAAGACGAAAAAGTTAAGGTAGTGAAACATACAGAACTAAAATTACAATTTACTCTTTTTTCTTATGTATGTAGATAGAAAGGCAAAATTGCAATTTTAGTCATGTTGGTTTGATCCAGTGGCTTTTTTAGACCTAAGAATTGAACATTTGCTATTTAGTCCTATAATTTTAAAATTCAATACAATTTTGGGACTGAAATTGCAACTGAAATTTAAGTCCTGTAATTTTAAATTTTGTTGCAACTGAAATTGCAGCAAAATACTAAATTACAGGATTAAAAGACAAAAAGTTAAAATCTTAGTACTAAAAATGCTATGGCGTTAAACCAGCAAGACTAAAAATGCAATATTGCCCAGACAGAAATAGAATATATATAGAGAGAGAGAGTGGTTACAGCTGTGTTGAACTCGGCGTGCCTCTGCATGTTATGAGCATGCAGCTTCTTTACAGCAACCTTGAGGCCAGAAATCTCACCCTTGTACACGACTCCATACTCTCCTTGCCCTATCCTTAGGCTCTCACAGAAATTGCAAGTGGCAGCTTCCGTGTCACACTCAATCACCTTCTCCTCCACCTTTGACCCAATAGTCACCACTTTCTCGTGATTTCTCCACCCGTCGAGCCACCTTGCAGCCTCGTTTTTCTGCCCGTGCAACTTCTGCTTCTCGTCAAGCAGGCTTGCTACGGAAGCTTGGACGAGCTTTAGTTCCTCTGCAACTTCCTCACACCTGCGCTCAGCTTCGTGGGCCCGCCCATCCAGGACGCTTATGTTCCGCATGCTCTTCTGCAGATTCTGGGTTAACTTTGCATTTTCTTCAACGAGCTTTTCCTCTCCTTGTATTATGCTTCCTAGTGTCTCCTCCGCCTCCATCCTTAATTTCTCCTCCTGAGAATGAGACGTTTCCAGAGTTTTGACCTGATAGATAGATCATAACGGTTTGACGAAAAACCCCACAAGTTTCCAAATTACAAAACAAACTCTCCAACGCTAGTAGAAATACGACACCTAAACTTTATATTTTTTCCTTCTTCTTTGTAGATTTTATTATATTGTAAGGATAGTCTAAGAAGTATTGGCCATTTTCAAATGTTCTCGGATTTACGATATGCTCAAATTTAGGTGATGTGGGAATTTTCTTTTATACAAAGTCTTCCAAACCATTGTAAAGGGCTTCTGTGTTCATAATTTTAAGAGTGGAATACTGGTTTAGATTCAGCATTTTGACTTTTGGGTGCACCCTGTTAATAAAAAATCACATCACCTTACTAAATGCCTCGAGGGCTTCATCTTCCAACACTCTAGGCTCGAGAAGTGCCAGAAAGGCTTCATCCCTCGACTCATGAACTTCCCGCTTCAAATCCTCAAGCTGACTGCACAAGAACTCTTCTAAAGTCTTTGTTGAGGAGGAGGAATTCCTTGAGAATATGTTTGCTGAAGAGGACAGGCTACGTCTATAGATGGTATCACACCCACTCTTGAGAAACTGCAAAATGAGAGTTACGAGTTGTCGAATCACACACCCAACAAGATAAAAAAATAAATAAATAAATAAAAGGAAGTGCCTTAGTTTGGCCAGAGTTTAGGGACCAAGAGGCTAGGTTGTGTGCAGATGGGCTGGCTAATTGACAGCTTTGCGGATGAATGATTGAGCTTCCTGAAGCTGGTCTTGTCCATATCAGCTTTCTTTTGTTAACGTACCACATCTCACAATAAGAGGGAGCGTTTTTTGCTAGGAAAGAAGCTTCGCACGAGCCCCTTTTCATAAAACTGTGTCACATTACCAAGGGTTACTGCAAAGAAAAACAAGTTTTGTTCCCCATATCCTTACCACAAACAACCAAAACCAATCAGATC